ATGCATACAAACATCTGACTTCCATTGAAAACTGATTCCAATGTGTGTCTAGTTGGAGCTGCAGGATCATTCCTTCTTTGCATCAATCAACTGGGATGACCTCCTGGCCAAGAAAATAAGGCCCCCGTTCATCCCAAATGTGGTACGAATAATTCCGATTTTTTTTACTGCACCATAGACCTGAGTGTGTATTTTTTGTAATTGCACTCTCTCTTGTCCAGACCGGTCCATGTGATGTCAGCTACATAGATCCCGAGTTCACGTTACTGCCTGTCCCTGGCTCTGTGAATGAGAGGTGCAAGGCAGGCGGAACCAGCGAGGCCTTCCCAGGATTCTCCTTCATGAACCCTGTGGAGTACGTGTCATTCGAGCCAGTTTCATAACCACAAATCCTCTGGGAGCATGTTTGTTAAATTATTTATTTTTCATAAAATATTAAATCAAAGCCTTTTTTAAAAAACTTGTGCAACATTTTCTTAAACCAACACTGCAACGGTCTGTATGTTTCTGCTTACACACTCAATAGAAGTGTATCTAAGTAATTGCTGTTTTAGCATTAGTCCATCATTTGAAATAGGCTGGTTACTGTTTCACAAGTCCTACCTACCTCTATTTACTGAAAGGACACAACAATTAATATTCCATCTGGACCGTTACATTGTTAGAACTTTACATTTTACATCACATTTTATATATATTTACAGACTTGAATTGCAACTGTCCCATTTTGCTTTCACATTCACAGCTTACAGTGGTACTGCAGATACTTCACAGGGTGCCTTAAAAACCTGCATTGTGCATTATCGATCTTCTGGCATTTACATAAAATAGGATGCCAATCTGTTGGCAACACTCTAACACAAATTGGACCCAGCTCTGACTTCAGGTTTGATGGTGACAAGCTTCTTCTTTCTTTTCTTTTTTGTCCTCCTTACTTAAAACAAGCAGCTTTCTGTCTGTCAGTAGATGCTGAAGGATGCATAGCTCTGGTCACTTTGGCATGTGAAGTAAGCAATCAACTGACCATTGCAGATCATCAGAAACAAGCCGCTCCCTATTGAACAATAACCAAATAAAAATAATTAAAGTTGGAGCAATATCGTTGAGACTTATAACCTAAAAGTTGCAGGAGCGGATTAACAATTCTACAATTTATTTAGCAGACACTTTTGTCCAAAGCACCTTACATCTGAGCAGAAGTATAACACAAGCAAGGATCTAGAAGAGAGAAACATTAATTTACCTAAAGCCAGCCACCATTGCCAAACCATAGGGAACTCTAACATCACTGCAACAGAGAAATAAAATATTTGATTTCACAAAATATTGTAAAACGTGTAAGTACTTGTGTAGATGTATAGTTAGATTTTTCCACTCACCTAGGCTGGTGATCATTACATGGAGAAGGGTGACAGTGAGTGCGTAGTCCCAGACACGCCTCTTCACCACTGCAGCAAACAAAAGACCGCTGCAGAAGTAGGTGAGCTCCAAGGAGAGGAGGTTCACTGAAAAGAACCAACATAACAAAGTGACAAAAGTTCCTACCCATAGATAACAACATTGGCTTCATTTAGTGTGCTCACCCAAGTATTTGGAGTTTGACTCAGCAGGCTCAGTCTTAAAGTCGAATGGAATCAGCCCATCAAAGTGATGCAACCTGATTGAGGTTTTTTTTTTTTTTTGGAGAAAAATTTTAGAGAAGAAACTCATCACATGAAGACACAATTACTAAACACAAAAAAAGTGCATTTTGACAGAGTGCAAGAAATAGGACCAAGGAATATTGGAGCGACAAAGAAAGGCATTTTAGTATCTAAACAGTAATAAAAACAATTAGTACAGAGTATGTTACTGTGCATATGTTCACTTTGTAATAAATAATGAATAAAGAGAGGGGTAGAATATCAAGGATGAACAAAAGAATACATACAGCAGTTGCACATAGGAAAAAATATCGTGCATATGTTTAGAAATAAAAGCTTGGGATAGTTTATGATTACAAAATAGGTCATGTATATACAATATGGACAGTAGTATAAATTTGTCTATGAACTATATGTATGTATGTGTGTATACAATAAGAATGTATGGAAAGGTATAGTCATTATTAGTACCATGTTTTCAAAAGTTTGAATATCGATACATCTTTATTCTGACAGATACTTTCGCAGTTATTTATCTTTTTCACTTGCAATATAGTAATATGTCAATTCCAATAAAAAAAAAATCTGTATGTTCATATTGTTTAGGAGCCACCTGATCGTCAACCAGAAATGTCAGGAGAGACGATGCTTTGAACTGCTGGTTATGAGCGCGTGTGTGGCTGTGCGCATGCGTGTGAGATGTCCTCACCTGAAGGCACCGAAGCACACACTCCCGATAATGTAGAAAAGGGAGTAAAATATGAGCAGACACAGCAGCAGATTGAAGAGCACGGCCTGTCGGAAAAGAGTATTTCACAACACAGTAACTAATTCATACGGTGGACAACAGTGCATATGTACCACCTTAACGCAACATCACAGACACGAACTGCGTCTGCAGTCTCTCATATCTTAGGCTATCAGCTTGCCATGGGAGGGATGAGAGCTGTGGTAACGCATACATACAGCGACTCTCGTCTTCTGCACAATCTCACCGACTGTTTTATCTGTTGTGCATTATCTTCATTCTGGTATCAGGCATGGTTTTTCAACAGTCGACCCAGATTTACGGACTGACAGCCACTAAGAGGAACTGATCAGGCTACATAATAACACATCAACTCCTACCTTTGAGTCGACTGCTTTTCCTTTGAATGCCATCTCATGGTTTGTACTAAATGTTGTAGGCTATTGCACAATAATCCAAGCTGCAGCACGATACAAGACCCCGTTAATCCCTCCACAAACTGGACTTCTCTCGCCATCTAGCGACGAACACAGGATAGGACCTCGCTGTTTCCACAGGCAAGCACTGAACTCAATTCACCTCGGTTTTAGGGCGGCCTTTGTTGACTAAAACACAGACACATCTCCCTGTGTACCTGTTAGTAAGAACTTAACTCACATTCGTGACTTCTACAGCGGTTACACGAGAAGAGGGTGTGCCAATTTCATGAAAACTATGACTAAAAATGTCCCATTAAAATGTGCAGCTTTATTCTACCGGAGATACCACAAACCGCCCAATGTGGGAGGGAATAAAAAAAACTGCATGATAGCTGGCGATAAAATGAAAGAACATGAGTGTTAGGAACACCAGCGAACTAACAAATACTCAGTAATAATTGTAAAGACCCCGCCAGACATGGAGTTAGTGCGCATAGGCTCACGATTGAATTAAAGGGATTAGCTGTCACATTACAACCATCAACCATCTAGTAGCCTACAAGTGAGGTCATACCAACACAGAGCCGAAGTAGCTCACAAGGTGTTGACTTCTTTTTAGACAGAGAATAAACTAACACACGTATTATGACGAGACGAGTTTATTGTAGGCGAAAGTGAAATTGTGTGAACATCTTGTTCGGCTTTATTTCAGGGTAAGCCCACCTTAAAACGCACCGACAGACATGTCCGTATAGGTGTTTTAAAAAAAGAAGAAGCAAATACCAGTTTCAGATTATGTGCACAGCCAGGTTTTTGTGTTGTTGCTGTTTGTTTTGTTTTTTTGATTGGAAATAGCAGTTCAGGAATTTGACAGTCCTAGACATTTAATCCGACAGTTAGCATCGTGTACAAATTGATTATCGCCACTGATGTAATTTGCGCAGAGAAATGTGTTGTTTACGGTCGTCTGTGGTGTGAAAGTGAGGAACACACGGTATATAACCCGGTCCTCCGCGGTCATCATGGAAGACACTGCGGTCTCTGCGCTTCATTGAGACACAGTCGTACTTCTTTGAGGACACACTTCTTTAAAGGTTGATGCGAGCAAAGCAAGGGGGGGGGTGTGTTTGTGCTCCAGCTCATCGGTTATATTCGTAATAGCGACACTGAATTGAGTTTTTGGGGCTTGTTATTCGCGGAAACAGGCCTGGTATTGACCACCGATAGTAAACTGAACTTTTCCGAGACCTAAAGTTGTCAGGCAGCGCATCTTAACGCGCATGCGCATCCTTCTATCCAGCTCTAAATAAGAGTTAAAACAGAAACGAGGTGAGTTCCACATTTTTAAACAATACGGGTGTTAATACTCATTCATTGCCTTTAACAGTGGCACATTTTGAAAACAGAGCTTTGTTTTTTTTTTTTTTGATTGGCGTTAGTGAACGTTATTTCCACTCTGATTTAAAACGGCAAGAATAAATCGTTTTTTTTTTGTTTTTTTTTTCCAAGTTTCTATTGAAGAATTTAAAGAAGCAACAAGGTTGAAGCTCGTACTAGTGGGACAATGTTACTGCAAGTGTGGGATATATTGTGCGAAATAATGGCGTTTTGCAAAATGCGTTTTTCCCATTGTTATAAGCCGGGAAACTTATTTATTACAGATTGTCCTTAGCTGGCTGCATCCAGTCATAATGCTACGGCTAGCCGTCGAGCAAACCCTCCGTTCATTTGAACGGAGCGGAGCTAGCTGACTGTTAGCTTCACGTCAGCGCTAGCTAGCAACCTGGGCTGACATTCCGTGACAAGGGGAAAGTGAAGAAAATAACCCGAGTGAAGAAAAACACCAAGTCAGGAAATTACACAGCAAGCGTTTGATATTGTTCGACGCGTAGCGGCTTTGCACGATTTGTTTAAATGGGTAACTTGAGTAATTTACATAGTTTAAACGTGTTGGTGGCCTCTTCCTATGCTCCGCCATTTTGTATAAGACGAATGCTAATCATGGGCGCTCTTACATACACTTTATTTATGACTAGAATAAAACTGAGACACTTCAGTGCAAAGTCAAACTTGTTGCAAATGTATTAGCTGCGATTGTTCTGTACTTTTCACATACTTATGACCTACATGAAAACAGAAAATATCACCTTAATGTGTTGTTGAACATGCGTCAGGACCAAAACGTTATATCGTTTTATTAGTCGATTAAAAACGAGTTTAAGTTTTCACAATCGGTGCAGGAAACAGTGTTCGCTGCACAATTGTTATACAAATTACCCTCGCACGTATTCTTAGCCAGAAAAACAAGCGGGTTTTAGAGATACTGTTAAAACGAGGAAAAGATGAACTTATATGGTAAACTTCAAGTTTAGACATATTTCCCCATGTTTGTCACTGATCCTGATCAAGGTTCAGTCTAATGGCACCGTTTGTGCATTCATTTCTGTGTTTGTTGATCGGGAAAACAATAATATTTCTGACTGTTTTGTCTGAAAGCGAAGTGCATGGTGGATCCTGCAAAGCCTGCACACAGTCGCCCTCCAGCGGTGATGTGAGGCACTGCTGTTTACAAGTGCAGGTAGAAACACTCACTGTGGCTGGCAGCACTTTGTAGGTACAACCAGACGGGGGGGGGGGTTAAACTGTGACAGTCATGCTCAGTTAATACACTACACAGAAAACTGTTCTTTCAGTTATTCAACCTTTGTTATATTTTTACATTTTGGATCAGTTTTCAGGATATGACATCACTTTTGACATTTTTTTATTAGGTGCAATAAAGTGACAAACTGGTGATATACAAATGAGGGACAAAAAAAACCAAACAAACAGACAAGGTCAGGACAACGACTCCAAAATACAGTGAATAATAAAATAAAACAAATAAAGACAGCAAAATACTAAGACATCAATAGACACACATCATTACTACGAACAGAGAAACTACAAAACTATATGAAATACCTAAGACAGGATACAAGAAGTGAAAGAAGCGATAGAGAGACAGGGAGGGAGAGAAGGTGCTTAGTAAAGGGGACTTGAGAGGTAGAAGAGAGTTGAGGAGTTGAGCAGTGTGTATGGTATGTGTTGAATATGTTGTGGTGTGAGAGGTGAGAGTTTGTGTAATGATTATGTTTTAGCAGAAGTTGACCGCAGCCGAGGTTTTGGATTTGGTTTGAGCGTTATTTGATTGGAGGGGAAGATGGAGGGAGAGGCAAAGCTATTATTTTTCTTTTCTTTGACGTGACTGTTTTCATGTGTTTTCAGGTTGGGGATATTGGAGGAGTGGGAATGACTGACACTCCACCAAGTGATGCCCCCTCCCAGGGAGCTGAGTTTGATATGATGGGTGCTCTCGACTGGAAGGATGGTATTGCCACGCTGCCAGGCAGTGACATCAGGGTAACAAGAGAAGGATATGTGTTGATAGGCTCGTCTCTGATTGTGTAACTGTATGTGTACACGTCTGTGATCACACACAGATCCATAAAGGCAGTGTCTTTTGCTGTATATGTAGCAGGTATGCAATATTACCATCTCATTTAACTTTGTAAACCTCAAAACCAGCCAAAGTGCTCTAATTAAGTCTCATACCAGCACTGGTATGAAACTTCATGTGGACGCCTAATTTGGCACTGGGTTTTGAAACTATGCTAACATCTAATGTTGCAATGTGAGTACTTATTTAAGTGATAGAAAACAATCTTGTCTGTCTCTTTGCAGTTTCCATTAATCTTACCAAGTGGCTTGCTTAAAGGCATAATTGGACCTTTTGGGAGCATCTAGCTTTTATAAATACCAACACCAATTTTTTTTCATGATAAAGCTGTGAGATGGTTGGCTTGGTTAACTCATAAAAACTGATCTTATTATTATTTTGTCTGTGAATAACTACATTCATTTAGAGATGGGATGTTCAGGGTGGTGCATCATCTTGGCTCAACAGTTGACTAAAAGAGACTTTAAAAAAGTGTCTAATTGTGTTGTTTTTGTTTGTTTCTTTCAGTTCCGCATGACAGAGTTTGGGACTCTTGAGATTGTTGCAGACATAGAGGTCAAGGGGCCGCAGACAAAACCTAAGTCTGAGACCTCGGACCCGGCACAGTCTCAAACTCCCACCCCTCCACCAGAGAACCAATCTCAGACTGGCACAGCTATAAAACCAGCTGCTAAGATTCAGCCAGGATCATCTCAAGGAAAAGGTGTGACAGCAGAAGTTAAACAGAATTGTTATTAAAAGACATGCAGTGTTTACTTTTTACACTACTTTTTGTTTTTTGTTTTAAGTGAAGAGTTTCAGCTCCTTCATCCTGTTTCGTCCTCCAGCCCCCCGTCCTGTGCTTCTGTCCTTAGAGGAGGGCCCCAGTATGGAGGGTCCCAGTGTGGAGGTTGGCCCAAGTGTTGAAGTTGGCTCTAATGCAGCAGACACAGGCCCAAATGGGGAGCTGTCTAGGTGTCGGGCATGCGGTGGCAGCGTTTCCCAGGATTCCCTCTTTCAGGGCAAATTCTGTAGCTCCATTTGTGCCCAGCCCTCCAGTGGCAGGTAAAAACAAATGACAAAGTGAATTCTCTCTGTGTTCAGAATATTTATTTTTCTTGTTTCATCACAAGAGAAAATGTCCCATTTCGGCAGGTCGTCTCCAGGGGAAGCGAGAGAGAATCAAGCAGTAGAGGGTGAGAGGCTGGGCAAACGTGTGCGTAAAAAGAGGAAGATCTACATGGATTCTGGCGACGAAGAGGAAGATAATCAAGATGAACCAGAGGTAAGGAAAAAAGTCTCTTGTCGCCAGTTGTTTTCCTCTAAAGTGTTCATCGCCTAGTTTAATGGGAAGGGTCCTGCAAAAAGGGGCAAAGGGAAAAGAATTGAAAAATAGCACATTTATAAACCTTGTGTGCAACATGTCAGTTTCTTTCTCTGCATTGAAACTATATTAAACTGCATCAACCATATTAAATAGAATACATTCTATTTAAATTATTTTCTATGGATATTCTCTCTCGTTTCCTTTTATATTTTAATATTAAGAATCACACAAGTTAGGTGAGATAAAAATATTCAAATTTTGATTATTAACATGTTATTTCATTTTCTCCTTTGTAGGAAAAAGCAAAGACTGCCAAAGGCAGAAGAGGTGCCAAAATTGCCAAACTGGGTATGTTAGAGTGCTCTCATTGTCTCTCATTGTTTCTTACTCCAAACTGACAACGTGCACTGAAATGAAGACTGTAAAGGGCGTTTAATACTTACGATGTCATTTAATGCCTTAGACAAAGTCTTAGAGAATTTTTTTTACTCCTATTTATCTATATCTATATATTTATTTATATTTTCTTGTGCACAAACTGCAGTATATAACACTCATGTATTCATTCCTTTATTTAGTGACTGCCCCAACCAGTAAGAAACGTTCATGGAGCTGGCCTGCTTACTTGGAAGAGGAGAAGTCGATCGCCGCCCCTGTTAAACTATTCAAAGAGGTATTTTTTCCCTCTACAATCACCTGCCACTTTAATGTTCTTTAAACTCTTAACAGATGGATTTGCTTAATCATGACTCTACTATGATGTGAATTTGTTTCACAGCACCAGTCGTTTCCTCAAAGTAGGAACAGCTTTAAGGTGGGAATGAAGCTGGAGGGGCTGGACCCGTCTCACCCATCTCTGTTCTGTGTGCTCACTGTTGCAGAGGTACTGTTACTGATTGTTGATGTGTATTATGTCTATTGAAGGACAAAATACATCTTTATCTCTGTAAATAATGAAGAACTTGAGTCATACTTGTGCACTATCACTTTGTCTCTCAGATCCAAGGCTACAGGGTAAGACTCCACTTTGATGGTTACCCAGAGTGCTACGACTTCTGGGCAAACGCAGACTCGTGGGATATGAAACCAGCCGGCTGGTGTGAGAAGAATGGACACAAATTATTGTTGCCTAAAGGTAAAAACAGACACAGACACACATTAAAATCTATGCATGATTTAATGAGCAACCCACTGGAGTAAGTTTGTCTTGCAGGCTGTAAGGATGGAGATTTTAATTGGAGCATGTATGTGAAGAACTGCAGGGGTCAGCTGGCCCCAAAACACCTTTTCAAAAGCCTAAACACGGTCAGTGTTAATCCTTATCTGTTGGCTCAAAAACCTTCAGACTGTCCTTTAATTTAAGATTTGTGTTTTCTAATTGCATTTTTTTTTTAAATTCTAGTCTGTGACACCGTCTGGCTTTAGAGCAGGGATGAAGCTGGAGGCGGTTGATAGAAAGAACCCGACATTGATCTGTGTAGCAACCATTGCCGCTGTGGTCGACAACCGATTGCTCATACATTTTGACAACTGGGATGACACGTATGATTACTGGTGAGAACTGAGAACAAGATCGAAAGAACTGGTCGCACATAAAGATTATCCCCAGCCAAATGGAAGGACTGCTGTAGCTTTAAATCTAAATAAAATCTATGGTAGTACAATCTCTTTTCTAAACCAAGCTCAAGCTGTTATGTATGTATTTAAGGAAGGACATAATAGGTGAATTGAATGAGGTTCTGACATGTTTGGGAAGTTGGACAAAAAAGTTTTGTATAGTAGTAAAGTATAGTAGTATAGTTTAAGGCTGGACAAACATGTTTTTTTGAAGTTACTTTTGGGCCTGAAGAGAAACAAAAAATGTAGGGAGGAGAGAGTGGCGGAAGACATGCAGCAGAGGGCAGAGGGCAGAGGTCGGACTCAAACCCTCGGCTTCTGCGATGAGGACTACAGCATCCGTACATGGGGCTTGCTTCATAACCGCTAGACCATCAGCACCCACAGACATTCATGCTTGACTATAGAGCTGGTGCGGCACTGGGCACATTAGAAAAAGTTCCCAAAAGTAAATTACTACACAAATATAGGTCAATCCTACATCACTGTTATTGAGTGCCTGTTTTACTGGTTATTGTTTTTCTCTGAAGGTGTGATGCTAGCAGTCCGTACATCCATCCTGTGGGGTACTGTGAAGAGGCTGAGCTAACTCTGACCACTCCAGCTGGTAAGACACAGACCAAGACACATGTGGGTCAGTATAAACTCTTTTCATATCTTGTAGGGACCAAATAATGCAGAGTCTTACTTTGTTAGAAATGAATGCTAATACATACTAAGATTCTGTTAATAAAGATGATAAAACTATTGTTTACTTCTGGCATCAGTGTATGTTATTTACTATGATATATTATTGCATTATAGTATTACATCTGTCTATTTTGTATAGAAAGTGGTATACACATGTTTTTGTAAAGTTTTAAATGTTAGAAATGGATTGTAAGGTGTATTTAAGCTTAATTTAATCAGTTTCATGTGGTCGCCCAGATTGTTGCTAGTTTTTTAATCCACAGGGTGTAGATAAAGAACACTGAAGCTTCTTTGTAAATGTATGAACTTTCTGCAGAGGGGATAGATCTAATCAGTGTCTATTTGCTCCTTTCAGAATATAAGCAGCCCAAGAGTTTCTCATGGGAGAAGTACCTGGAAGAGACGGGCACACAGGCTGCTCCTGCTCGGGCTTTCAAGCCGGTACAGATATACCAACACAGTCAGATTTATAACAAGTATAATATTATTAGTGAAATGTTAGTGATATTTTTTTTCTGCCCCATGTTTGCAGCGACCTCCACACGGCTTCCAGATTGGCATGAAGGTGGAAGCTGTGGATAAGAGGAACCCCATGCTCATCCGCGTTACAACCATAGCGGACACAGAGGAGCACCGACTAAAGGTAGAAGATTTATCCTCGCAGAGATGTGTTTTTATGTTCTCTGTAATGAGATTTGGTCTAATTCTCCTTTTGCTCCCTGTCTGTCACCTAGATTCATTTTGATGGCTGGAGTTCAGAGTATGACTACTGGGTGGAGACTGACTGCCCTGATCTGCACCCTGTAGGCTGGTGTCAGAAAACTGGACATCCACTACAATATCCTAATGGTGAGACCTGTTTAAGGCAAGATCTGTCTGATATTTAGTGCAGTCAATCTCAAGTTTCTCAGTAAAGAACTTAAATTTCAAAACGTTGAGTCAGCAGTTCGTCTCCCCTGGAGGTGGTGGTGAATCTTTAATGAAGTTAAAATGGAAATGGTCTTACAGATTTTTGCATGTTTTTATTCAAACTTGTGTGTGGGTGTTTATTTCAGGCTCCAGTGAATTATTGGCTGCCCCAGGACAGGGATGTCCTACCCCAGGATGCAACGGGGTTGGTCACATCAGAGGACCTCGCTATGGGACGCACTACACGTTAGTAGCATCCACCAGGTTTTGTGCCTTCAGTCTCTTTGTTTTACATTTCATTTGTTCTTTTAACAACTTTTCTTTACTATATCGTGAACCTATCTTCTTATTTTTTTAGTAAAAGTTGAATCTTATTAGACTTAATCTATGGTGTAATAATCGTCATTTAAATAATGATAAATCATTTCTAAATACTTGACTACATTGTACCCTAAATACTTTTTGAAGTACTTTCTCACTTTCTAATTTCTTCTCCATCTTTGCTGCATCTTGTCACTATTTATTAAGCAACACATTAATTATTGAATCTCCTCTCATCCTTTATCCATGTTTTGGGACTGTGTATTTTATAATTACAGAAGGAGAAGCATGAGTCTCCGTGTTCTGAAATGTCATTTATACCCGTGTGGGCTGTCAGCAGTGTAAATGTGTTGCTTGTGTTTGTGTGGGAGTTTGAATCCTTAGGGTGATCTCTTGAGCTGCTTTTCCTTCCATTAGCTGTAACCTGTCAAACTGAGACGATGTAAAGGAAAAAGAGGATTTGCTGTGCATAATGTGGAGTGTTTCTTTTAGGATTGTGTAAAGTTTGAATGTCTGTATGTTTGCAGTCAGGTGAGCTGTCCGTACTCTGAGATGAACCTGAACAAAGAGGGCTTGCTTCCAGACCGACTCAGCGGGGAACGACCTCTCACCCTCAGTGGACCTCATCCTCGGGGTCGTCGGCCTGACTCTCAGACAATCGCTACCATACCTACCTCCACAACGCCAGAGCAGCCAGAGGGAGCTGACGACGCTCAGAACAGGTTTGCTGTGCACACTGCTGTCACTCCAAGAACAAATAACACATGTTGAAAGCAATCCCGAGAACTCCTATCACTGTTAGGCTTACAACTCTATCCACTGGTACCTGAGAGCGGGTTATTTGTGTTGCTAGGAAACCGGTGACAGTGGAAGCTGACCGTTCAGGACGCAACAGCCAACAAGAGCCACCAAGTGGAGCTAGTGAGCAGAGCCACAATGGAACGAGGCCTAAACGGTACACGCACCATAACTTTGTGCTGTGTAGAAGATTTCCCTCTGTTTTAGAAAGTAACTTCTGATTTCATTTTTTATTTTTTATTACAGGACGGCTCCAGTTCCTAAATATCTGAAAATGCATTATGTGAAAGAGGAAATCAGCGATAGTAAAGGTGTGTGTGAATTTAAATGAGACTCAAAAAATGTGAGTACATTAATCACTTACTCACCCCTACTGACACCTCTCCTCCTCCTCACTGTTTTCAGCCTCTCCAGATGCCATCTCTCTCCAGCAGGCCCTCCATGAGTCTGTGTTCTCCCCTGGCATCTCCGCCTCCCCCCCTCACCGGGTGGCTCTCTGCTGGGACAAGCACTGCCAGCTGCTGCCTGAGGTCCTGGGGCTGACTGCCAAGAGAGTGGCCACTTGGAGCGCTGAGGAGGTCAGACATGCTCGCACACATGAAAAGCAGACACATACTCCACACTCCTCATCCAACATGCAGGTCCACAGCTCAGGGGCACTGTTCATGTGTATTAAAGAAGAGATTTATGGCTGTTACAGTGCGAGTCAGGTTAACAACTGAGCTGCACAAGTAGAAAAAAATGATTGATTGTATCATCCCATGTTTGTAGCTTTTTACTCTAAGGTATTACTCTGTGTTCATCAGGTTTCTGGCTTTGTGAAAGGACTGCCAGGATGTAAAGAACACGCAGCCACATTTAAAACGGAGGTAAGCACTTCTTTGCTTGTGATGATTTTTGTACTCTGTGAAGTTAAGGCGTGATCACTCATGTTCGGAATTCAACTTTATTCAACAATGTTGATTGAGAATAGAAAAAATAGGGGGAAAAAAACAGAATAAGACACGAGCACAAGCCTGGGCTCCCCTGCTCCTGTAAAAAAAGTAAAAACTTCTCGAGTATCTCATTAAAGAGTTCACTCTGTTATAATACCTCATTGGCTTTCCATTTTTTTTCTTTTGACTTCATTCCGTGTAATGTAAGAGAGTGTCTTTATTTGAACAGTGGGGCTGACTTCACTTGTTGTGTTTTTAAAATATATATACAGTATACTGTTTAGAGAGAGAGCAGGGGAACGCTCTTATCTCTGTTTTTAGTGTCGTGCATAGGTGCTAGATCTTCAGAGTAGATACATAAGGTGCACACAGGTGGATGCATTACATAAGCACTGACTCAATCAGTTCAATATTTAAGTAGTTGTGTTGCTACCTGCTTGTAGTATGTCTGACATAAACCACATGGAGGAAAAGAGTATCAATACTTTTCAACAAACCTACCGTACTTCCTTTTGTGTTTTCTGTGGAGCTGCATGATTCGATAAAATGTCATTCATTTTTATGAAATTAACATTTAGAGTTTCTAAATAATACATTATTAAAATCATCTTTATAGTTAGTTTAGTGTCTCCTCCCTCAAGGGATGCTTTCAAAAATGAATGCACCCTAATAAGAAGCTAATTTCTTGTTGATAAAAACCAAAGTTATATACAGGTATTCAATAAAGTCAAAGAAGTGCCCCTTTACTACACCATTATATTTATTACATACACAAGATGTCAGCAATCAAATTCATTTTCTTCAGCAAAAATGTCTCAGGTTTTGTTTTTACAACTTTTTGCTTAGGACTAAATGAAACAGTTTAATGTAAAGGGGGCATACTCAGTCTCCAGATAGTTGGAAAGTAGCCAGCAGATGATCAGGAACACAAAGTAATGATGACGTTGATCTATAACTGCTTGAAGTGTAAATGTTAGGAATAGAGAGGAGACCAAGTCAACTTCTGTTTTTTTTTTTTTTAGTTCAAAACCTTTATAATTTTCTGCTGTATCTTCTTTAAAGATTCTAAAAAATCTTTACATAAATCTTACATGACAACCAAACTTGAAATGTATACATTTTATCACAGTTAATATGACGCTTTCAAGAACACCCTCTCAAGTGCAAAGTGCACACTCTGAAGTGCATAAGGGCACACGTTAAAGAGAAATCTTCACGGTTCAAATTGCACAGTGAACACTTACAATTGTACAGCACACTTTGAAGTGCACACTTTTGAGTGCACACTCTCAGGTGCAGCACTGATTTAAAGGGCTAAAAGAAATGAATAAAGCAGTTTCACAAAAATATCAGCAATTCCTAAAAATTCTCTTTCATGCTTAAAGGATGTCGGGTGTAGGAGCTTAGTTGCAGCTTAGTTGCAGCTTGTTTGCTTTGCTTGTTGTTTGTTTTAAGGTTATGATTCCTTTACAGAGATCCATAGTATTCACTTAAGTCTTCTCTCCTCCTGTCCCTACATTAGCACCTTAGCAAACCTAAGTCATTGATCAAATTAAAATATAAAACATATAGTTAAGAAATAGTTACAAATGCGGGTAATGTGATTGAAATGCTGACCAGCAAGTTGTGGACATGTTTTAATATCCAGCCGCAAATTAACACCTTGAAGACATAAGTATTAAAGGACCAATATATAAGATATCTACTGAATGAAATCATAAAATGATGAAATCATGAAATGAAATCAAAAACTATATCATCTGACATTAAGGAAACATGCTATGTTGAAGTGCTGCCTTCTCTGACAACAATACAGCAGCCGGTATGTCGTCCTCCTTAGTTTCATTTCCAGTCCAGAATGGTTGATTGTTGTTTTGACCAGAGAAGGTGGACAGTTTTAAGGAACCCCCACACAGCCGTTATGGACACCCCTCGGTTTGGCAGGCAAACAGCAAACCAGCAGGTGTTGCAGTGATGTAAGCAGGCAAGCAAACAGTTCAGATATAACTGATTCTACCCGAATTTAAAAGCGTCTGCATTTTTCTAATAAGCTCCACGACCGTAAACTTGGTAAAAGTAGGATAAATATTGGAGATGCTTTTTAAAATTGGAGAGGTTAGAACTCAGAGAGGTTCCAAGACTGATGCAGAGCTGGTCAAACACTAAAGCTTCTGTTTCCGCTACATGGCAACTGGAGACAGCTCTCTTCAATGTTTTGAATTTGGACCGAAGTACGAATTTTAAACACTGTGTCAGAGTTACATATTGCTCCTTTAACTGTTTTCACTGATGAAATTCCAACAGAGCAGGTCTACACACATTTATTCCTACCAAAAGACCTTTGTATAAACTATCCAGGAGGTATTTTCATGACTTTAGTTAATGTGCAAATTAACAACCTTAGAGTAGACAAAGATCAAGAAAAGACAAGAAAGAAAGACAAGAAAATTCAGATTTGGTAAAACTCTAATCAGAGCCGTTAAAAGTATGAAATTCTGCATCTTTGTGTTATAAAATACAGTCGTTTTTAAAAGCTTTTTTCCTCTTACAGCAAATAGACGGTGAGGCTTTCCTGCTGCTCACCCAAGCTGACATCGTCAAGATCCTGTCAATCAAGTTAGGACCCGCCCTGAAAATCTACAACTCCATCCTCATGTTAAAGAACGCAGACGAGGAGTAAGAGCAGTTCCCTCCAGTTCCTGAAACACCCAGCTGAAGACTTTTGATAAAATGAGCCTGAACCAGTTTCATCCATTAGACGCTGCAAAAAACTGCAGCTACACAACAGAAACGAGTGAAAGCCATCATCAAAGAAAAAAAAACGTCCATCATCGTGCAGCCCCCCAAACCCCCATTCCCTTCTCTCTCCATTATTGACTGTGCTGATGAACCCTGAGAGAGAGATTTACATGAAACCATGAGGCTTTATTGACTCATATCGTGTTTGTTTACTGAATTATCAAAAAAAAAAACTATCGTCACCTTCAATGCTTCTTAATATTGTACAGTTTCTGGATTGGATTTAGTGCCACCGTTCTGTTGCTTTTTCTGTTTTCTTCAAAGAGTAATTGTGCTTGAGCTCACAGATGATAAACAAGCAAGTTTGTGCTTTGCTGCTTTTTACTTGGCAACATCACGTTTTTTGTTTTTTTTTAAGCTGCAAAATACAATCGTGGGGCAGTAAGAGGTTTCTAAATGTGAAACCCAGTGGAGCAGAAGCACTATGTAGTTCAGCCATTGTCCTATAGATGGAGAGAGTGAGCCGCTTTAAAAGCCCAGAGGCAAGAGAGTTTGTTTAAACTGGAGTTGGCTGCAACTGAAAGAGGAGGGGGTTGTAAGGTTTGTGTGTGTTGTGTGTGTGTGTGTGTGTGTGTGTGTGTACAGATGTGACTAAGTGTGTTTGAGAAATGAGCATGTATTTTCCCACCAGTCTGTGTTTGTTGCTTTTCTGGTCGGAGGATTGTTTTGTGACAAAGCAGGGCTAAGGGCTAAACCTTAAATCACGGAAACTTGTAGTCTTTTAAGGTGGAATGAGACGATGAACCAGCTCCGTTCTTCTCTATCAGCTTCATTCTTTCGTTTTCCGGTAACAGCACATGAATATGAATGTTTAAAAAAAAAAAACAGCTTTTAGTTGTGTTGTTGATATTGATCGTCTCATTGTAAATATATATATATAAAAACATCTACAAAAGGACTCTGCTTGCTCCCTAACACAGTTTACTCCTGCTTGGTTATGCAAAGCCTTGACTTCTGTCCACAGGCGAGGACATCGAGGCAGTGAACTGGAAAATACGAGCCTCAATTCATACATAGATTTTGAGAAACAAAACATTGTCAATGTCTTTGTAATTCAACTGTACTTCTTCAGCAAGTTGGATTGTGTACATCAGCAACTGTTTATATGCAAACAGCTTTTATTTATGTATTCTAATTTAAGGTAATGGTATGCTGTTTTGGCTCGGAGGTAACTGTGGCTGTTTGAAGGAATGGGTGAAAATAAATGAGATGTACACTGCCTGCTGTCCTTTGTCTCAGTCATTTGAACCAACACGTTCATGTAGATTACATAACAGGCAACATCACGAAGGCGATATATTAATCTGTTAATTCTAACAATTGTTCTATATAGTTGCCATACTCAAAAGTGGCCTACATCTGGTCCAGATGTGTCCTTTATGTGGACACAAGTGTAGTTGTAGTTACAAAAAGAAAAACATTTCATGAGAACTGTGAAGAATTTCAAACCTTAAAAAAGTGCTGCAAGTTTATTTCATATATAAAGTAAAAAACAAGAACAACTAGATATATCAGAGTATAATGTGAAATGTTTATCTTCCTGTTCAGAACCTGGCACCTACATTACCCACAATTCAACCTGACTTCTGACAACGAAGTCAGACGTCCAGTGTGACGCAGGTAGTTTCTAATGTAGTCTTGAGCTTTAAGCTTCTAGTAAAGATGAGCTGAAGGTCTCAGGTCTAGTCCTTTCCAAATCATTACCCTTATATCAGTTTCATTTTCAAACTTCTTTATATCTCACAGCTTTGATTGAAAGCCACGATAGCTGTCTTGTAGAAAAAAGATTAAAAAAAAAAAAGTCTTGTACCCTATTTGAAAGTTTGCAGGAAAATAGCAAAAAACAAACATTTAATGCATTTACTTATCAATACGTTTTCTGACAAAGAGGCAGCTTCTTCTTCATCAGCGAAGTGTTGTCTGGTCATGTCTAAGAATAACTAAACTCAGCGTGGGACTGGCCTGGACCAGCCATGGATTCCCACGACCCCTCCTCTACACAGACACACACTCGCACATCAAAACAGGCTGCAGAGGCGCGCAAGGAGCGAGGAGACACGGAGGCAGGGAGCAGCTTTGCACCACTTTTAGTTGAACTGTTTAATTTTTTTTTTTTTTTTTTTTACTTTAAGATTCATTTCGTGCTCCGCAGCACCAGCTGTTGCGCTGCACACAGTACGGCAAGAATCAAAAGAAGCGTGTTAATCTGAGGAGGATTTAAGTGAAAGTCTGGATTTAATCGAGAATGAAAGTGTTGGAGAAGACGCACAGAGGACTGGGATGAATAACGCAACTCGGGGATATTTAATTTGATAATGCCGAGGAGGCAGTTTCTGCTTCGGATTTACGTCCAAAACAAGGCAAGTACTCAAACTGATTTGATCATGACTGCGTGTAAGTATCCTGACAGTGAACTGCAGTGGATTTCTGTAGTCAACACCAGTGCTGTCGAGAGGTAGGAATTTAAATGTAACATTAAAGATGCATTGCTTAAGACCACTTCGAAGACGTGATTTGATATCTTCATTTTCGTACTGTTGAAATGTGTTGTGTTCACTTACCTCCGGGGAATTGATATCATGACTTCGATTGGAGCAATTGCTGTATTCTTTATAACCATAATGACACTGTTGGGCTGGGTGAAATGATGAAGTCCTGACAGGGGTCAGTTGTATTTTATCCCTATGTGGATGAATGAGTGGCTCAAGAAGGGTTGAGTCCGGGTTCATTGAGGCTGCTGCAGGGCTCCGTGGAGAGCTGAAAGCTTCTGTGTGGCTCCAGAGACACACTGGAAGAGCTGCATAAGGTTTGGCATCTCATTAACTCAGCCACATGTCTTATTAAAGCTGCTATTTCCTGTTGTGTGCAATGCAGAGTAAACGATCTCCACTCCAACACCACTGCTCTCCCTTTGTCTCTGCATGCTTCTTTAATTCTTTTACACTCTCCCTCTCTTTTTTTCCACATGTCTGTTCAATCTGAAGCCAAAGGATGACAGCAGCCAGTCCTGTCTGCAGCCCCGCCTCCTCCCATTCGTCCTACTCTTCACCTGCTTGCCTCCCAGCATGCCACAGACACCTGAGAAAAGGCAAAGCCCTCCAGACCAAACTTCACCTGCGCTCTGGCCCCGGCGTGTGGCTCCTGCTGGGTGTAGCCGTGGTTTTGGTCGGGATGGCAGTCGCAATAGCGGGCTACGTTTCTGCAGCGCCGAAGCCAGTGGGCGGCCGAGGCAGCACCCACGTTGAGAGGATGAAACTGGCTGGTCCTGTGGTCATGGGAGTGGGCTTGTTCATTTTCATCTGTGCTGCCACACTTCTCTATGAGAACCGGGACCAGGAAGTCCTCAGGCAGGAGATGTCCGACGACCTGGAGGATCTGAAGGGAGGAAACTGCTGGGAGGATTTGCAGGAACGGCCCGGCTTCGGCTGCCAGGCGGAGTGGGAGTGTGGAGATGGAGAGCAGGGGTGCTGGGCCACTCCAGCCCATGCGTGCCCTCTCTTAGAACACAACTGTGGTCCTCCTCTTCCTCCTCCTCCTCCTCCTCCATTCGGCAGGAACCGAAAAAACATCAGCAGTAGAGCATCCCCACCGCCTGCTTCAGATGCAGGAGGCAGAGATAACGAACACAGGGAGGATGAGGAGGGAAGATCAACGCTGTTGGCGCGAGTTCTGCACCACCAGGAGCCGACTCCTCAACCTCCCTCCCCCTGCCTGTCCATCTCCCACTCCTCCGTCAACTCAGAGTCCTGCAACTCCAGTGAAATCAACTTTAACATACGGACAGGCTCTCCTCTGCCGACTCAACACTGAACCTCCTACTGATTTAACTCTCATAAAATATGCATGATGAGATACATTGGTTTCACATGCAGGCATTGAACTAAAGACTGTGTGTTGGTATGATTTAGTGCCTCTGAGTGGCGCAGTGGCTCTGAGTCACATTCTGTGAGCGATTTTTTTTTTTTTGTGTCCTACATCTTTTACCGACTCACCCACGTTTGAGAGATTGGAGCTATGCTGTTTGATGTCAACTAGACCCATCTTGTTGTCTTTGATCTCACCCCGGCCCAAAATCCCCAAGGCCACTGCCTGCTTGACCATATTAGGACGTGAGGAGAATATCTGAAAAAGTTAGTTGGGTGCCATGGCGGGAGAGGAACACACGTAGGCTACTCCCCCCTTTCTGTTTTACACACACACACACACACACACATCCTCTCTCGGTGATACAGCGCCTACATTTCCTCACTGGTAAGGTTTGGTAAGAGGATGAGCCAGATTAGGTGTCCATTGAGCCTTTATGTAATCTCACACATACTGTAATCTACTCTTTATCAGAGCAAATTGGGTCTCTGTATAAACAAGAGGATCACAAAAGGACACACTGCACTCACTCCACACCTACAGCCACTCTATAAATACCAGCTGGTGCTTTGTACGCACGCAATGTGGACTAGAGGTTTTTTTTTCTTCTTCTTTTTGCTGTAATTCAACAATTTCTTTTGTCAAATTTTGTGTCAGCTCCTCAGTTTTCTCCCTATTCTCGGGTGTGATGAGACAAGATCTTTGAGGATTTGAATCAGATTGTAGGTAGAAAGAAAAGAGCAATGGCTAGAGGGGAAGAAAAAAAAAACCCAGCAAAATCTGGTCGGTTATGAGTTATTCCTGACGCAGCGTAACTGAGAAAAAGCGGCTCTGTGAATCGTGTAACTGAAGCCTCACTCTCCCACCATCCCGACCTTTCATCTCCTCCTGTTCATCATCTGATTCCTACGCTTTTATTCAAATACTCCATCCTCCATCATCTCAATCCTGCAGCCAGAAAAACAAAACAAAAACAAAAACAGTAAAATAATGTCAGTTCTAGTGAATCCAGGCCGAGCATGTTTGAACAGGCTGAGAGGTAACAGGGGTAGGATTTTAATTATCACCAGCATTTTCTCCTCCAGCTTCTAATTACACAGGGGATCAGTCTGAAGGCTTTTATAGGTGCTTTAGGACTGCAGAGTATTTCCTTGTTGTTTGGGCCCATGCTGGGATCCTGCCATCCAGATGACGACTAAGACTGAAGTGTACAGTAATTTGCAGCCTCACATTTCACTCACATACAGCACCCATCTTTCTCTTTCTCTCTCTCACACACACACACAGAGTCAGAAGAGGTGTGATGTGTAGGTACGGTATGCTGTTTTAGGTGCTGGATGCATCTCTCAGGAGCAGGGCTAAGTTTGGTAGATGTGTCTGAATCTTCCAACGAGGTTCAAGCAGCCTCCTTCGCACTTAAAGCTCAGAAACGCAGCTCTAACTCGACACACACTCACACACATAACTCCCTCTCACTGTGAGAAGAGCTGCTGTGTTTACACAAGGGGAGATGCTGATTGGCAGAGCTGCCTCTAAACATTTGTTTCATCTCTTTGTTAGTCTGAGGATTTATATTTAATAAAATATATTCATATTATTTTGTCTTTTTTATCTATTAGAGATGTCAATTTGTTCAGAAGCTAAACCTATGCTGTGTTGAAACTGTTTTTCTGGTCGTTTATTTTGGTCACAATGGTCAAATATGTAAAAGAAAGAAAGCTGATACATTTCTCAAAAGTTCCTGTATTTAGAAGGGATCTCAAACTCAAACTCAGTTTATCGTTGTTGTTTTTTTCTGGCTTTTTTGAGCCTTTATTGTAGAGACAGGAGAGTGGATAGAATCGGCAATCGGGGAAAGAGACAGTCAGGAGTTACATGCAGGACAGGAGCCACAGGTCAGAATTGAACCCTTGAATCCACTAGGCTACCGGTGCCCTAACTCAGTTTTTGATCAAGTAAAACAAAGTAAAGCAACAAAACTCACATTTTGGAAGTTGAAACCATATTTGTAGGAATTGCTGTAATAAATATCATAATTAAACTATGCTTTTGTTACGGCTGTGGTCATGTGAGTGGGCCTTTTAACACCATCCTTAATTAACACATTTTATTCATAATGCTTGATTTAAAATAGTGAACAGCGCAGCAGCAACACAAAATACAAAATCAGTGTATCTGTTGTCACAAAATTGTCACAAAAAATGTCACTCGGTTTCTTTTTAAAATATAACTGAATCTATCCCTTCCTCTGAGAGATTAAGTAGGGTGATATCCTAGAAGACCGACTGGAGGCCGTAAGCTTCTTAACCATGCGCTGACTCAGGATCCACACAACGTCTTCGTTCCAGCAGAGCGATTATCAACACTTTTTATTGGTATGACAGGTGTGAGTGTTTGAGGATCAACCAGCCTTTTTTACTAAAGATTTCACCTGTTTCAGCAGGAAAAAGGGTCCAGTTAAGACATCTTCTGTGACAAGATTTAAGCATCTGCTGCTTTCTGTTAATGTAATGTTTCTATATCTGGCATGCAGTATGTCAACAAAACAGTGGGATGAGTTTTCAGCTTGGTCTTATTTGTAACATTCACACTGTATCATCTTTTGAAATGGCTAATAAACCAAATGACATTTTCTGACATTAAAAAGGACAACAAAATCCTTAACTTTCCATCTCCACCTTTTTTTCTTCCAAATTGTACAATCAAGGTGAGGCCAATCATTTGCAGGTATTTCCCCCAAGGACATCCCTTGTTTGATCATCTACAGCCATTCAGCAGCTGTGTTCAGTGCGGGAAAAAGAGCAGCTGATGTCCAGACTAATCCAATTTCAGGTCCTGAGTTTGTTCCTCTCCAAGTCCTCATGTTGGAGTCAGTGGAAGGAGCATCCCATTCAAATGAAAGGACTAATATTCTGTGCTTTTGCCGTTTTGATGCTCGGACCTGCTCAAGGTAAGAGGACGTAGAATAAAATACATTTTAATTGGTGGAAATTAAACAGTGCTTTCTGTTGTGTAACATTGCTGCTTCTAATCAATAGTTTGGCATTAAAATCATATTGATGTCACAAGAGTGACACATTGTATTTTGTTGTTATTCATTTATTGATTATAGTGATATGACGACAAATGTCATGATGATTTTTTGATTAAAATCAAATTACTGAACATAAAGAACATAAAGAACATAATACTCATACTGTCCATAAAGCCCTGCATAAGACTTATTTTCATTAACATGAATCCAAAGATTTTAAATTAAATCTTTAAATTACTTGACGCATGATTTATTAACAAAGAGTGAAAAATGTATTCAAGAATGTAATAGGTGACATCTTTTCATGTCATTTTAGCTTTAAACCACAACATTTTAATCTACCAAAAATTAAGATAAGATAAGACATCAAATCAAATCATTTGAGAAGCTGGAACCAGAAGATTTTGTTGAATAAAATTTGTCAAATAATACTTATTGATAAAAGTGGGTTAATGGGTACAGTAGTTACGCAGCCTAACAGCTGTCTATGTGTCAAACAAATCTAAAACTATTTCAACAATTTAGGAACCCAATAATCATGTGTATTTGTGTAGTTATGGTTGATTTCAGTACTCTTGTGCTTAGACTGCACGGGGCAGTACATACGCAAGATCCCTATACCCTAAACTGGCAACATACTTTGTAAATTTGCCCTCGCCTCACTACTCTTTTGTCTGCTCATTCACCTGAGCTGGTACTAGCTAACAAGATGAAGGGAATAAGGATCGTTAGCCCCCCTGAGCTCAACTCATGGCCTCACAGAGAAGATTAATCCGGTACCAGCAGCATCAGCTGCAGCTGTTGCTGCACTGTATCTGCCCATTTGGCAAATTGATGGGCTATTCCGGACTTAAATCCCTGACAGAGACGTAATGTGCTGTAGTATTTCTAAGGACTGTGAAATATAACGGGGCAGGGATAACTCAGGGTTTTTCCCACTCCCTCACAGTATGTTTCTGCCAACTCTTTCTATTAATTCCAGTATCTGTCTGTTTAATCAAAACACTATGGAGCCTGAAGACTTGGAGCTCTCCTGACTAACACAAGTCATCCTCTCAAAGAAACAAAATCCAGACTGCTGCAGAATAAACAAAATCTTTCTGAGATGCTTAAGTGCTCAACAGAATAAGGCTTATCATTTTGGCTTGATTTCATTTGACAGTGCGTCTGACTAATGAGTCCAATGAGCTAATACATGCAATACAAAAGCCCCCACCTGACTAATCCAAATCCTTTGTTCCATTAAGCTGTATTCTCTGTTCTTTGCACATTTGTCTTGTAGTGTTTACTGATTTTAGTGCTGCTTTAATCGTGTTTTCGTAGTTTTGTTCTGTCAAAATTCATTCAGGTAACACTTGATTGAATCAAATTGTTTCTGTGGCATTTCTTGGGTTCAGGTGACAAGGAGGAGCCCTCAGAGCAGCTCTTGGATTCAGTAGGATTGGAGCATGAGGTTCTGAAATGTTTCCGTTGTGACCTGGGCTTCTGGGATGCCTGCTATACCACAGAAACAAACTGCAGCAACAAGGAGCTCTGCTACACAGGCCGAGGGAAGGCAGGTGTGTTGAAAAGGCTGTTCATTTAGCCAGTGTACGATCATTAATTGATCCCGTACCATTTTAAGGGGGGAAATTATGTTAATATTTCACTTGAACTGAGATTCTACACTTATCTCCCCAGCTGACGCTCTGGATGTAAAGACACTGGGTTGTGCAAAAGTGGAGGAGTGTGGCGTGGAGACTACGGTGAAACTCTTCCCTAATAAGACATTTGTTGTCATGACCAAACACTGCTGTGACACTCCCTTCTGCAACTTTGCGCACAAACTCCCTATCAACACACTTTTGTATCTCACCATGGCTCTACTAACCACATGGCACCTCTCTGAATCCTCAATGGGTTCATAATGAACATGCTGCATTTATATCTATGTTGTCAAAAAGAAAAGAAAAGGACTCTGTGAAGTGAAGCTGAAAGGTCTTTGAACATATGGTGAAGACAAATCACCAGCTTACAGTATTTTTTTACAGTCCAGTACACTACTTAATTAGAAAACCCTACTAAGATGATTAGAGCATAAACATGCATGTTTCTAGAGCCTTTAATCCAACCAATCTGTTTGTTTTCTAATAAAACATACAATTTTAACTAAAAACAACACAAGAAAAATTAACAGCCTTCCCAACATATGCAGTATAATATGTATTGCAATGATATGTAAAATAATTCTCCTGATGCGTTTAAATACAAATATTCTGTCCATAGGTTGAACATCAGTTAAAGTGAACTCTTTCCAAAACAGCTCAACTCAGATAGTGAAAGAGCAAACTGACCACAGAGTTGTAGAAATGAGACAGCAGTTAGACTTTAGTGCGGTTTAGCAGCTCCCCAGCAGAGGGCAGGAGCTCCTCTTTCATGAAGTGCTGAAGGTCCAAGTCTTTGTCCTCCAGGTCCAAGCACAGGAACTTCTCCACCACAGACCTGCACCTGTCAGTCACACATACAAATCATATCTTTCTGAATGACAACTCTGCCCTCTATGCTGTTTTTTATTGCTAATATTCTGAAGTTTGAAACCTGTTCGCCTGCTCATCTGATGATGCTTTGTCAATGCGTTTGACAGGACGTCCTGTCCTGTACAGTTCAGACACCTGACCAAACACACACACAAAGTTTGTCTATGTGAGTATCTTTCGTGAATGAGAATCTAATTGTGTGTTTACCTCCACTCCTCTCTGTACAAGGCTGGTTGGTAGGCCTGCCAGAGTGGCGATGTTTGCAGCATAGCTGGACTTACAGATCCTTCCTTCAGTTGGTACAAAAACACCAACTCATCACCGTCCACAGCTGTCTCTAGAGTCTAGACAAACACACACACACACACACACACACACACACACACACACACACACACACACACACACACACACACACACACACACACACACACACTCTCGATGTTCAAACAATATTATCCTGCAGCATGTCAGTTTTCAATCAGGAACTTCACTGAACATTCACAAAGTCCTTCAGGCTATGTGTAATCACTGAATAAGTTTCTCTCAGTACCAGAAGAGACAGCAGGCAAGAGGAGGGTAAGAGGCCCAGCTGCAGTAAACTGTGAAAGTTAGTGGCCAACAGCACGTGAGGAACATCCACGGGAGCTTTTCTCAACCAATAAGAGACCGATGCAGCCAGCAGGGACAGTCCATCCACCTGCAAAGGCAGCATTTTATGATTGGCTGTGTTCTGTGCAGAGATGAAGCTACTGTTGGTGAAGTTATTTTTAATCTATTTATTTGACAATTTACTTCAAACTAAATAACTAAATGGTTAAACATCTATGTAAATGCATAATCTAAAGGGCATCAATGACACAAAAAAGTCCCAGGACTTATTTTTTCATTGTGGCCTTCCTTGTCCTGAGATGTAATGTGTGTGTGTGTGTTTGTTAAAGGTGGAAAAAAGGTGGAGTTCACCAATCACTACTAATAAAAGAACAAAAACCACAAATATACAGAATATATAGACTTTGGAAAATAAGCTGTATTCAACAGCGAGATACCAAACCTGTTGGGGAACTTAACTTACAGTCATGACCTGACATTGTGTTTAGTCTATTTAATGCCATTAGCTATTATAAGAATAAGCTTTTAACAAAAACCCATGATTGCACCAGACTGAGTTGGTGCCACCAATAAACCCATTGACACAGCATTTCTACCTACTGGTCTGTAGGGTGTTAAAGAGGGTGTTAACCTCTTTAAACTGTGTTGGTCTACACCAACTGACTGGCCTTCTAAATGCTACGCTATCCTCATCAGCTACTGTACAATGGTATCTTTAATTTACCCTGATGATGTTATTTCAGTAAGTGTTATATGTGCAGGGACTGTGCTTTATAACTGTAAATAATTGTAAGTAACCTCTGACACTAATTGTTCACCTGACAATGTTAAACTTGAGGTATGACCTATGAAACATGTTTTGACCAGAGTTCACAGAGCTTGCTGAGAAGCTGTATGTAAGACTGATACTGATCATTGTATCACAGAGATCTGCAGATTGACTCGGCTTTGTTGTTTGTAATAAAGTCTTTTCAGAACAAACATTCTGTGTATTAGTCTTATTTGCTTCTCTATGTGGCCTTTTAAACCCTTCACTCTAGTTGCTCACCGATTTAGCTTGCTGTTTGGTTTACATTTCACTTTTTAGCTGAAAAATAGACGTCTGCTCAGGCTAAAAACAAAGCTGATGAAGTGGTGAGAATAAACTTCAACTGTAGAGTTTCTGGCCAGGCAGCGAAACAATGAGCTGAAAACTTGCTCAATTTCAAGTTCCGAATAGATCTGCGGAGCATAATAATAAATCTCTGTTGGTTTCTCGATATGAGCAACTGGATTTGTATTGTCATATGATATGCTGTTGTAATAATATATCTATTATATCCATTTTTCCTTCTTCTAATGGAGCCTGCACTTGACATTTTTTAAAATGTTTTTCTACTAGCCTCTCCCTCCAACACCTCTATTTCTTCCTTAGAACTTTCGTGCCTCTCTGTCCCTCTCTAGAGTAATGTGGCAGACAGTGATGGAGGACAGCACAGTGAACTCTGTATGTATTGTTTTATGTTTTTGTCAAAGCGTCTTTGAGTTTTCAGAAAAGAGCTATATAAAACCAATGTATTATTATTATTATTATTATCATTATTATCATTATTATTATTATTATGTTTCCAAGAAATAGTCAGGAAATATGGGTCAGTTTTCAAATTAAATATAAAACATTAGGAAAGTTATAGCAGTCTTTGCCTGTAGTTCCAACATTACATTATTACTTCCCTGGTGCACCTTAGCACATCTACTGTTCATCTGCAAGTCTTAACAGCTGCTGCTATTTTGCTGCTTATAGGTCACACATGCTGGGCTGAACTTAAGGTCTGTTTCTGCAGCTCCAAATGGCAGAATATTATTGTTTGGAACTGTTTCCAGGATGTTTGAGTTTGATGACACACTGTGTCCCTGTTATGTGTGTACATATGTATCTTATTCACAAAGGGCATAAGCAGGTTTCTTCTTACTGTGTTAGTTCCTTTTCCGAATTCATCGATGAGAACTAATGAGTTGCCCGTGCTGCTGTTCAGAGCCTGGGCCATCTGGAGAATAAAGACACAAACTGTTATACTACACTCTGCTGTTATATTGTGTGTTTGTTTGTTTGTTGGTATGTCATGGTTGTAGGCAGAAGTTGTTGTATAAAATGTCTTGACAGGAGGAGAGTGGGAGTGGAGCTGGAGGCCAGTAATGTTGGAAGTTCACTTTTATTTCCACACCCACCCACACACATACATACACTTAAGCTTGTGTGAAATAAAGTGTGAGTGTCTGAGGTACCTGGTTGAGGTCTATCATGAAGGTGCTGAGGCCCACAGACACGGACTCTCTGCTCTGCATGCGGGTAAAGATCCCATCCACGAGACCGATCTCTGACTCCTTTGCAGGAATGTCTGAGCCAATCAGAGCCATGAACACAATTAGACCCACCTGTCAAAGACAAATAGGAGAGAGGAGTCAAATAAATGATTCTCCATGGTAACATGGAGGTCAAAGCTTGTTAATATGATGCTTTATGGCACATTTACTTAGAGTCTTGTTTTGTGGTTTCTCATTAAGTTGTAAAATCTGGATTGTTGTAATAAATAATACCGTAAAATCCATTGAAATTGGTAAATATAAATCTTGGTCATCCTGAATGAGGTGCAACTACCAATATTTCCTCCCTGTCAGGGAAATGTAACTGTTGCTGTAGAAGAAACACGCTGAAGTCGCATCACTTTCTTTGATGCTGATCTTTATATTGTCTCCCACTTGAAAAGCTTTCCTGTAAATTTACTACTTTAAGCTTATTGAAAAAGAATGCTTAGAAAAAAAAAAAGAAATACGTAAAACCTTCCAGAGACATTAATGAAAGGCCAATTTGAGTTATACCGGCAGCTGTCTTAGTGCATGCAAGGTCATAAACAAATATGTACTTACAAGTACCGGTAACTTTTTAACCAGAGTTTTTCCCACCAGTCGTACCTGTTTGAGGTAGATGCTCTTGCCAGATGAGTTTGGGCCAGTGATGATTTTGACTCTGTCCTCTGAATCAGAGCTCAGAAAGGAGTTGGCCACAAACACAGGGGAGCACAGCTCTAAAAGAGGGTGTCTAGAAATGTGTCAAATATTTATTATTGTATTTATTTAAAAAATAGGGACAGTGCACATTAATGAACATAAGCATGCCAGATGAAGCCATATGCAAATTTCCATCTGTACAGTCCTGTATCAATCATGTACTGAATTCCTAGAATAAATAACACTTGTATTTTATAAGTATGTATAATCTGTCTGTCAACAGTAATGAAGCTAATGTTATGTTACAGGGGGTTAACTGGTGTGTGACTGCCTACCTGCCCTGTATGATTGAGATCTTTCTGTGGCTGGAGAGTTTAGGTGAAGAGTAGCCGTACTCTTGAGAGGCACTGCTCAGAGCCATCAGACAGTCCAGCTCAGCAATCAGACCCAGAACCTACACATCACACAAATTAACCACACTAACTGTCCTAAACAGCACAACAGGGTTTACGCATGTGATTTAAGACAAAGTCTGTGTACTTAGCCATATTAAATGAAAAATACAAGTGAAAAAAAAAAACAGTGTGTGAATTTGTTTTGATGTTTTGAGTCTCAATGTTTTTGAAATCATTTTGTCTACAGTGAAAAATAGTGTAATTCTCAAAGGAGATTTTCAGAGTCTCACTCTAATAAACCTACGTTATTGAAACACTGAATGTCAATTTCAATAAAGCTCAGTGTTTGTTTTATGTTCATTTGATTGCAATGTTGAAATCTACTTAATACTCTGAACATTTTACAGCTAAAGTATTATCAAAGCAATAATTCATCTTCTGACTTTAATGCTCATTCTGCTCATAAAGACATCCATAACATTTGCATTTACATTTTGCAGCACACCCATCTGTCAAGAGGCTCATATCACTGCGCTTGAACAGACCGGTTACATAATTAAATTGTACAGCCAAATGAAGTACAAATAGTCAAACACAATCTCCAACTACGCATTTTTGCAGAATAACTTCCATGCCAACAGTCATTTTATTAAAATGGGAGGTGTGTTATAAACCATAGGACCTGGAGGTGATGCATGCAAACCTTGTAGAGGGAAGCGCTTCTCTCGAGGATTGTGCTCTGCAGCTGGGTCATCACTGCTGTCTCCATGTCTGAGAAACAAGAAATACAGTATCTTTGTAGATTTACAACGATTATTTTTTGTATTCCAATGATGAGGTAAATTACCTCTGATGTCACAGTGTAAGTCTCCTAGGAGGTCGTCCAGCTCCTTGGTTCTCTGGCTGCGGTAATGCAGACGATCCTCTGAAAGAAACTATCCCACATGCAGGACAGACAAAAAGAAAAAGCTAGACTAGAATGAGAATATTCCATTTAGAAAAACACAAATGGACAAAAAAATAAAATGAACACGCTCACAAACCATAAAATCAAGCCCTTCTATCTCAAAATCCTCTTTCTCTACCATGCTGGACAGGCGAGGGACAGAGAGCAGGAACCCAATCTGTAAGGTGAAGTTGACAATTATGTTCTGAAATATGTGTTTATAGAGCTCAAGCAAGGTAAGTAAATTAAAATGTAGTAGTTGTGCAGATGTATATTAGCTGGTAGCTGTGTAGACATAAAGCTAAGACCAGTGGGATGTAGATGACGCAGCAGGAGGGGATGCGAGAATCCAGGTGTTCCAGCTCTCTTCTGGCTACATCTGTTAGGAAGTCGGACAAACCCATCATCCTCCTCTTCTCTGAGAGCGGGAGAAAATGTGCATAAGACTTCGACCTAACCAGTAACCAGCCATAAACACTTGGTTACTTTTTTTAACACTTATTCAGTATGGAGGCACTTACTATCATCAATTGCCGAGTCCACGTTTGGTTTGATGGTGAAGCGGTTTTCAGCTATGCTGCTCTCAAAATCCACCTACATGTTGTAAGTTACAGGTGGAGTCAAAGTTATTACACTCAACAGTCTACTAAATAGTTGTGAACTCTTGAGCATAGCAACAAAAGCCAGGATTTCTCTGATTTACGCTATGTATTAAAGTATGTCTTACAACTCTGCTGATGAGTGAGGCAATATACTGGAGGTCATCAGAGAAACCTTCGCTTATATCACGGAAGAGCTGAATGGACTGAGGCAGGCGCCGCACTGTGTCCCTGATACACACCACACTGTACACTGTCTAACAAGCACACACAAGCACAACATGTTGTACTCTTTTCACAAAATCTTTTGGGCAATTAAAGTGTGTTTCATTATACTTTTACTCAGACCTTGTAAAGACTCTGCCAGTCTGTGACTTTGGTGTGAGAGAGAGACATTTTGCGCAGGAGAGTCTTAAACACACAAACACACCAAGAGACAAACAAGCTTTAGGCAAAGGCAAAGTTTCCATGTCCAGGTGGTGACACATCAGGAAAAAGGATAAATAGTAACAGATGTGGAGAATAAAGCAGGTCATTGGTCAGAGATGTTACTGGTATGTTGCCGATGTTGCGCAGTGAGGACTGCAGAGTGCTCAGGGCATCGGAGTTACGAGGTGACGTGAAGAAGCGTATTACTTCCTGTCTCCTGTGTAACACAGCAAGGTCCTGTGTTGGCCGCAGAAACCACTCACTGACAAAGAGAGAACATCACTCACAGTAATTAGAACTTATCTTTAATAAAAAGAACAAGCTTGTAAATTCGTATGTCTGCCATTAATTACGTAGACCAGAGTTAACCACGAGTGTAATAGAAAAGTGACAGAATGACAATATTGTACAATCACTTAAATAACCACAGCATGTAATTAAAATTCACATTATTACATTTGTCACCATACCAAAACCAGATGAAAAAAATAATTTTAAAAGCTCAGATATTAGCCTTGTTGCCATATAAACAAGCAGCAGTATACAAACCTTGAAATTCCAGCGCCAAACAGAAATATTCTACCTGAACTGCAATAAAGAAGTCTTATAGTGTGTATGTAAGTATATGAAATAACTTTATTTTTATTTATTTTTAATTTTACATACTTTATTAATCCTGGAGGGAAATTCTGGTTTACACTCTGTTATTGAGAGGCATGCTTCTTACACCTACAGGCCTGAAATACACACATGCACAAGACTCGGGAAGTGCCCTGGCACCACTCCAGCTACCAGACAAGCTTCCATATTTCAGACAGCACCGGACTTGAACCAGAGACCCTGCAGTTCCCAACCCAAGTCCCTACAGACTGAGCTACTGTCCACTCATTTTATTATTAAATTTAGTATCATTGCCTCTTAACAAGACTTTTAACTTAAGTCTAACATGACTTATATCTAACCTCCCCTGTAAATACAACGATAAATTGTCCTATCTATTTTTAGAAGTCATAATATTAGTACTGTTGTATTGATGGTGCTGAAGCAATGTAATGTAATACCTTATGCACAGGTCTAATTTTTCTAATGTTCCTTAAAACGTTTATAGGTTCCACTTAAATTGCACATATATATATATTTTTATTCCTGAACGGGGTTATGTAAATTTTTCTTTGCATTAGTCTATTTTTAATTGCACAGGTTTAATTTTATTTCATGTAGGGGCTTACTTAAATCTTTGTTTCGAGTTAATATATATGTATGGGAGGGGGGACAGCGGTTGTTTGTTTATTTGTAACAAATGTTTCATGTCGCGCATGTCTTCTGTAAACTACTACTGAATCCCTCGGGATTAATAAAGTATCTGTCTATCTATCTATCTATCTATCTATCTATCTATCTATCTATCTATCTATCTATCTATCTATCTGTCTATCTGTCTATCTATCTACATATAATGGAGTTATCTGACATTAATGTTATTTACCATCCTAAGTACAGAGTCTAAAGTTCTCTGTTGATGAAATAAAGACATCTTCATTGTTTGTTTGCTTTTTTATTGTGTGATTGGGCTATAGAAAGATCTGTTTCTCACCGTAGTAGTTTGGAACCAAACTTGCACCTACAGCGGTTAAGTATGCCTGAAAAACACAATTTGAACAAATAGTTTATATTACACACAAACAAATACAAATGCGTGAATAGGTACCTTTAAACCAGTGTACCGTAAAGACTGAGTCCTTCTTTTTCACCCGAATGCAGCTTGTAGACTGATGGGTGAAGTTCTGACTTAAAGATCTGCAGTACACTGGAAAAAACACAGCACACTGTGATCTCTCCATCTCTTTCTATATATATATTGTTGCCTGCCTTAACCCGTTATAAATCTGATTAAAATAACAAGTCTTTCAAAACTAAATATATTTATTTGAATGAAATACAATGTTTATCACAAAACATGCAAAAGCACAATAATAATAAAAGGAAAAAAAGAGAAAGAAAGAAAAAAATCAAATTCAAATTTTAAGTTAAAATGAGTAAAAACATTGCTGCAGGAGAGAACAAGAGAAAGTTCTACAAAAGCAAGTTTGTGAAAATGTCCTTGATGTTCAATTAAATAAAAATGTAATTCAAAATAAAGGGTACAGTAAAGAATTAACTTGTTAAAAAGAACAAGAGATAAGTGATTTGGTAGAGCAGTGTAAGCTTTTAGGATCATAAAAGGGACACAGATCAATTATGTGATAGAGACTGTGATGAAAGTCTTACCTGTAGGTGTCTCTGTCAATACAAACAACACCTTTACTATATTGGGAAGAAACAATGAACATTTTAGAGAAGCAACCTTTTCATGCATGAAAACTACTGCATCACACACACTAGTGTTTTTTAACTACTAGACAAAGAATTGAGAATTACAGAAATAAAGGGGAATCAAATTGCATAACTGTAGATGTACATGTACAGAACGGTAGTTTAACTATCTAAAGACAGAGCAGTAAAAGGTACTATTCATTGACAAAGTCATTGTGGAAAATGTGTTACCACAGTCCTATCTGTGTTCGTTTGTGTGTGTTGGTGTGAGTGTGTGTGTGTGTGTGTGTGTGTGTGTGTGTGTGTGTGCAAAACTAAATAAATGTGTGTCCTACAGTGTGTAGGCGTGAAACTGTAGGATTGGAACTCCAACACTGCTGTCTTCCAGCTCCACTCCTACTCTCCTCCTGTCCAGACATTTGAGCAGAGCACCCACTGCCCTCATCTACACAAGGGATAAACACACACGCACACACACACACACACACACACACACACACACACACACACACACACACACACACACACACACACACACACACACACACACACACACACACACACACACACACACACACACACACACACACACAAATACAGGGAAATGAATGACAGCTCCTGTTAAGTTTCTGCATAATGATGGTCTGATGGACAGATGATATGGTGACAGCTGGCTCACCATCAGGGGCGAGTCAAAGGAGATACAGGAGGAGAGGTAGGACAATTTGTCCCTCTCTGTAATGGAGGCAGGAAGGAAAGGCAGATGGGCAGACAGTAGCCTTTGCTTACCAACCTCGAGACCTACACGATTCAAAATGGATCCAAGATGAATCTGTTAATTGAAAAAAATCCTGCGTGAAAGTAACGACCATGTTTGATTAAAATTGTTGAATGTATAATTACCAAAGTCAACAAACGGATAAATGACCACCTCAGGTTTGTAGTCTGGGTTTGCACCTTAAGTACAAATGGCGGGGAGGGGGGGGGGGGTTGAAAAAAAAGTTGAACACAGGATAGAATCTACTATAATGTGCAAAGTGAAAGCCTGATATGGCATTGTATAATATACAATCACTCCTTACCCTTATCACACTAAAAGCCAGCTGCTTGCCTTAGATTCCTCATGTCTTATATTATATCAAAAGAAACATGTCTGTCACATTATAGCGTTTCCCATTCCTAAATGAAGATAACTTTTATTCTTCAAGAACTCACCAAGTTTTTGCAGGAAGCGTGTCATGCAGTGCTCCTGCTTTGCACTGGTGATAATAACATGGGGACTAAGCTCCTGGATGACTTAACAAAAAGAACAAAAGGAAGTAATTTGTAATTTGTAATTTATTTCAAGGATAGCCCCTTGAGATGCAACCTCTCATTTTCAAGGGGGTCCTTACAAAACATAAATTAATCATCATAATACAAAATCAAAATAAAAGGTAAATCCAAAACATAATACCAAGCATTTAAACAGAGAGACACCCACACCACAAACACACACTCACATTCACTCACACTTAATGCTCCCTCAAGCCTAGCCACCCACCAACCAGCCAGTATTACACAATCAGAAAAAATCTGAAGAGAAAAAAATAAAATAATAATAATAATAATAAAAAAGAAAAAAAGAAAGGAAAACCTCTGCATATATATATATATATATATATATATATATATATATGCATATATATGCATACACACTATACAGTACTTACACACATAGTGTACGCAACATTAAGGCACAAGGTACAGCACAGTAAAGCAAAGCTATCTATCTAAATGAATATCTACCTTTTCTACAGACAATTACCTCTGGCCAGCAGGTGGAGCTCATAGTTGTCAGGAGTGTCTTTCATGTAGTGTAAAGAGGAGTCATTACTGTCATAGAAGCATAGAGCCACTTGTCCATGCTGAGCAAAAACACTCAGTAACACCTGTTGACAATTATGAACCGGAGTTACATCTTACTGTCTGAACTGATGACTATTCTGCTGGAAAGTGAGCTTACCAGAGGTGAGTCTTCCTCCTCTTCTGCGTCTACATTTAGGTGTTGTGGACCAAAAACTAACCCTGCCTCTACTCTTCCTCTCAAACTTTCCAGTGCTGCCATCACCAGTAAGATCTAGGTAGAAACAGTGGGAAAACTACTGAGTTACTACTCTACATCTCTTAAAAGCGAATAGTTAAATAACGCTTATAGAACCAAGTAGCAACCTAAATTGTAAACTATCTATAAATGTTAGCCAACGGAGTGTAATGGATAATTTAACAATTAGCAGGCAAGCTACTAGTGTTGGCACATAATTTTCATTTAGTTTGCTGAAACATACTTACAGAAGTTGTGAGGACTTAAGCTAATGAGAATATTTTCTTACAGGCGGTTACCCCGGGAACCCCACTACTGCGCGCGCGCGCTCTTTCCTTCTCCGTTTTTTACTCCGTTGTCATAGCAACAGCCTTCAGATTGTCCCGCTTAGCCGTCTCTTGTCTGTGATGATTAACACCCAAAAAAAGAAAAATGTAGAATAAGTCAAACAAAATGTAGTTTATGTATTTATATATGAAATAATTAAATAAGCACTTAACATAGAATCAGCCTACAGCCTACTTTTTGTGTTTACTCTTTACTTTCTGTTACATTTTATTGAGTATTGTTTCGGACTTGACAGGGCCACAGTCTGTAAGCCATCAGTACACAGATGGGGCTGGATCGTAATATTTACAGTCTATGGGCTGGATCTTATGATTCCTGAATTACAACAAATACCAACACTCCTCAACACTACTGACTGATTTATTTGTTCAATAAAGAAAGACTCCATGCCACCTATAACAACACAAAAGAAATGCCCCTTTTCTCTTTTCTCCTGAGCTTTGTGAGATGATGAAACATGAGATAAAAGCAATAAAGAAACGTCCAATATAAATCCAAGACTTTTATATTTTACAAAGAGGATGAAACAGTCAATGTATATTGCCTTATTCTGACAATACCGCCCCAAATCCCCCCCATTACTTGCACAGCTCACTTTGACAGATACAGTCTACAGACTAGTTTCTAAATATTATCAGCCAACTTGCCTATATATATATCAATAAGTCAATAAGTCACATCGCAATAAATAAGATGGATAACAAAAACACTTGGTCACAGTCACACTGCATTTTACATAATAATTCATATAACAGAAAATATGTTACAGGTTCTTGGTAGGCTGTGTGATCATTAACTAAACGTTCCTATTTTTGTGTGTGTGCAAGCACAAACTAATGACTTGAAATCAAGTACTGCTGGAGACGAGGCGGTAGTGGCAGCTTTGCTGTTTGATTCTGTCTCTCTTTCCCTAAAGACTGACGAATGGACAGTCCACATAGAGCCATCAGAGCAGGAGGATCACCTGTATGGAGAGACAGAAAATCTCTGTTAGTGTGTCTTTCCTTTTAGCCTAAAGCAGATCTAATTAAAGAAGCTCTGTGTTAATCAGATACTTACGTGTGGCACCGTTCAGGTATTGTAGTCGTATGATGGCTCCTCCTCTAACACTGTTTACTGCTGGGAACATCTCCCCTCCTCGAGGGAGATCTGTAAAAGCAACACCAAGGAAGCTGCCGTCTACAATGAATCCAAGAGTCCCTGCATCTGCATCCAAGACAAGCAGGATGCACTCAGGGATGTGAAGAGGTGTCTCTGCTGCCTTTAATAGTCTTAAATTGGAAGAAAGTGGGCTAAAATCCTCTGCAGCTTCAGGGGGACCCCCTTTCCTCTTTCCTGGGTAAAGTCCAAAGCTCTGACCAGCATGCCAGAGCTGATTGGTTTTGAGTTCCCAGCCCCAGGACTGTGAGTCTCCACCAATCAGCACGTTATACCCTGAGGCCTGCAGAGGACATTTCTGCGTGGTAATACCAATGACAGCATGACTCCCCCTGAGGCTGGGGCTCCACTGCACCTCCCATACATGAAGCCCACTATTCACCCCCATCTCTGCCCTTATCCCATCACTGCTCTGCTCAATAGGTGAGCGTGTAACTTCCTGTTTGCAGTCAGACATAAGGAAATGGGGAGAGCGGTGCACTGAGCTCCAGTGTGAGCGAGTGTCTCCGTGAGGGACGGGAGAGGAGTTCAGAGTGACAGCAAGGCGAGAGGAGGTCGGTAAAGCCAGATGAAGAAAATCTGATGAAGAGAAGGGAAGGCTGTCGTCTGCCCTGCCGTACAGCCAATGTGACACTAAGGCCCCCATTTGTACAAACAGCCGATACAGCTGAACACACTGGCAGGATTGCTGCAAAGTTATGGCAGAGAGAGACTGATGAGAAGCCAGACAACAAATCACAAGCTTGTAAACCAATATATATATATATGATCTGGCTTTGTAAATATATTTAAATTGTCTGCACATTATCCCTTCAATTTGGATGAATTGAGACAAGGTATTATAACAAGAGTTTTCTCATAGTCACATATAAGTTTGACCTTTGAAATGCAAATGAAGATTGCCACCACAAATTATTGTATTTGGTATATTAAAAGGAGGGTACAGTATGATGTGGTAAGACAAATATGACCAGGTGGTGTAGAGATAGGTAGTGTAAAAGAAGAAGAGTAGCACAGAACAAAGACGAATAAGTGATTTCAGAGTAAGGTACAGTAGCTACAGACGAGAGAAACAACAAAAAGGAGTGAAATAAAATGAAAGAGATGAGAAATATAGGAACAGAATAGAATATGGTTCGTAAGAGCAGAATAAAATCGTGTGAAGTACGTGGTAAAAGCACAATTATGCAAGGCCAGGACTAGAAGAGGTATTTTGACATTTAGGCTACCTCAAGTACAAGTAGCAATACCATTGTGTGAAAATACACCACTTATTTCCAAAAAGGTAAATCAGCTCAACTGAGTCACTATAACCTACTTAAAGTACATGGTCAAAATACAATCAATGGTGCATTTACAGTAAATCCAAAGACGTAACTTTGCAGCTTAATGAAATGATTGGAAGCAAACTGTTTATTCAATAATGTTGATAAAGACTTCTACACCAATCTGTAGGCGAGTTAACTTTATTTGCTAGATGTACACCCAACAGTAGCTGTCTTAAAAGGCTAAATACTAAGGTGTACACTTTCCTCTGAAGCTTTAGTGTTCAGTAACTTGGAGTAGGCTATGTAGGTTTCGTCTGGAAACTCCAAAATAAGCAAAACAACTTCCCACTATTAAGAAAGATTAATAACAATGGTGAGTTATTATAGCTGAGCACAGAATGAAAAAAGGGCCAGTCTCCACTTAGGCCTACAGGTATTTTCAGCTATCTGAACTTCACAAATAAGTCTTTAAATCGTACCTGCTGTTTTGGTGAATGCTCCGTTTCCAGTCATTCTCAGTTCGTGTGAGTTTTTTAACCCTCTCTCGTGATGCACTCAGTGCGTGTTTGACCTCCGAGACGGGAACAACACAGTCCATCACTTCAGACTGACGTCACTCAGAGCCGCGGTGACAAGGACGACACATTTCATGACGTGCTCGTAAACCAGTGAACGTCTTATCACAGAGGAAAACAACATATCAATCTGCGTCTTTTCTTCTCCCTCTTATTTCCATGTCTATTATCTTGTTCTGTAATGAACGTAAACATATATCGCGAAACACAGGAACAGGATCAAACTCGGACATTTAATCAACAAAAAGATAAAAATGAAATAGAATCCAAAACGGCTCATCGTTCCACAGAGCGCATGCGCATGACGAGGAGCTTCTCATGGGTTGTAAAAAACCCTTGAAGCTGTCTTACAGGCAACATGGCGCATGATGGTCAAAACCTTTTTCTTGCCAAGTTATATGAAGTTATATGACTAAGGTTCCGTACAACTTATTAGCCCTCGATCATGGTTATTCAAGATTCAAAATTAACTTTATTTATCCCACAAGGTGAGAATGTTTAAGATAAGATAATCATTTATTTATCCCACAATGGGGAAATTTACATTGTTACAGCAGCAAAGAGCAAAGATTGCAGACAAAAAGTGAACACAGTACAATTTAAATAAAATAAAAAAATAAAAATTCCATGCTGCAGCCATAAAACAACAACATTTAACATCATTCACATTAAACATAAAACATTGAAAATTAGGAGATTATGTCTGCAGATAATAAGATAAATAACACAAGGGTTTTAAAGTATCATACATCATTATAGGCTATACCAATATTGTGATTTTGTCATACAAACATGCCCAAGCCAGCGTGGACTGAAAAATTAGATTCAGAAAGTTTAGCAATGTAGTGTTGTTGTGTATAAATTTTCAACAAGAGTAATAAAAAAAAATACAAAAATTTTAACTTTTTCCATTGAAGACCTTGACCTTCATTTTGTACAACTTACAACATGTTTTCTATCGCAGTAGAGCCAGAACTATTTGGATGATTAGTAATTTTATGTAAAATGACCGCTCAAATTATTCATTTGTAAAGCTATGAAATGAAAGCATATTAGCATCCTGAAGCACATAGTGAAGCTGTATTTCTCTTGGAGAACTGATTGTGGAGCTCGTCTCTTCTTCATTCAATCCTTAACTGGCAGGCTGCGTCAGCACCAACTGACGTCCTAGAAAAGAACAAGAGGGGGAAGAGAGTGAAGTATAACTGAACTTGTTGACTTTTAATCACAATAATTTGTGATGAATTTTTGGTCAGACTTTTTATAATTATAGATAGAGTATGCCCCATCTGTACTTGTACATGTAGGCCCATAATCACACCAATTAAACATTGTGTTTGCTTCCTTGTATTAGAAAATAGGTTCCATGTAGAGTTACTAAATGTTATCCTCAAATGTTAACAAGGAAGAGCATTTTGTTTTGGCCTTTTTGGTGAAATGGTTCTCTCACCATGTGGGTTCCTCAGGTAGCAAAAAAGTCCGGCAACCAGGAAGACTATACCCAGCAGCAGCACGGCTGTCCCCACAGCAATCTTGGTCCTGTCAGACTCACATATCGGGTCTGAAAATACATTTATCGAGAACACTACATAAGATTTACATACTGTATGAATAAAATACCAAAACTCAATTGAAATGAAGATTTCTATAAACCTGTAGACTGTACAAAACATAGTATAAGACATAGTCTCAGTGATGTCACCCATTGGTTTCTGAAGCGTAGTTTTTAATCCCAACAGTGGCAGACACCATTTTGGAACATCCTCTGCCTGACACTCAGATCAGCCACACCCTTAATTATGAATACCTCTTAGTCTTAAGATCAAAACAGTTGAATACAGCGTGTGCCAATCAAGACACGAGCTATTCAGACCAAATTTGTTTTTTTAACCAGACTGTAAAAATAGACTTTTTAACAAGGGTGTGCATGGGACTACTGGGTCATTTGCAGCTAGCCTCAAGTGGACACTAAAAGAACTGCAGTGTTCTGAACAGTTGCTTTGGCTTCATTTTTCAACAGCAGAGGTTGCAGCTTTGTTAAAACTAGCATATTTTTTTAATAATGACATCAGTAGGGTCCATTTAGAATTGTGTCATTTGTGTAAGATTAACACAATCTGATTCTACTTTACCTGTCATTTTACTTCCTGGATGGGCAGAGCTTTATTGTCAGTAAAGGCAGCAAACTCTGAAAATAAATTTGCTTGCCGGACGCATAAAGATGGCCTCATCACCTCATTGTAGTTGTTGGATGATAGAAATTATAACTGACTGTCCACTGAGTCGGTTAAATAATCCCTAAACTTGATGAGACTGTTTACCAACATAAAACATCACACCTCACACTTTCTGTCACTCTCTTACCCCACTCATACAGTTTGGGCTTCTGGAAACTTGCATGCTCCACCATGCAGGCGATTTTCTCTCCAGCTCTGGGAGTCATCTCTAGGTAGGAGTGCATCTGATAAAGCCAATTCCCATTGGGCAGTTCCTCAGTGGACGTCACATCAGATGTCACCTCCTTTCCATTTCTCAGCCATCTCACATTGATTTGTTTGGGGTAGAAGTTGTACGCGCTGCAGACGAGCATTCGTGGGTGTTTGCTGTCCGTTGCATCAAATGCTCTCAGTCTGACCGAGGGCTCGACTGCACGAAAGAACAAGGAGACAAAACAAGTAGACGTTAAATGACAGACCTATAATAAAATCATCAATGTGGTGAACGTTTTCAAGAAAGCATGTCTTAAATATTTTATGGCAGCTCATTAATAACTTACCAATAAAACCTAGAAAGGAAAATGTACAAAGAATATGAAATATGATTCAGTGCTCTTCAGTGGTTCCCAAACTTTTTCTATGGAGCTTTCTCTGCTTTTATCTAACAAAAGCCCCCAACGAACCACACATAAAAAGAAAATAATAACATGCTGTCGGAAAGGTTTCATAAATTTTAATTTCCTGTATTACAAGTCTACTTGACTAAGTAACCTGATATTTTTTAAAGAAGTGGGTTTTTTTTTTTTTTTAAATAGTTTTATCTACAGACCTTTGAAATAAGTATCTAGTTAAAGTGTTATAATTTGTAGGAGCCAAAATGCTTGGTTTTATTGATCCTTGCAAGAAACCTAACACAACACTGTGAATTTGTATTTTGAGTGTAATTCCGTTACTGAACACTGGGTGGAGTCTTGACTTGTGCTGTGCATGAAGCCAAGGCTCCAGGTAATTGGATTCCGGTGTGTGTTTGGAGGCATGTAGTCTTTTGGCCGTGTCGGCATGTCAAGTTGACTTGAATGTAACACTTTATGCTTTATGATGTATTGGACACAATGAGACATTTAAATGCATTATTGAATCCCGATCATGAACTAAAATAAACACCAGTAGCACTCCTCCGGAAATAGTTCCACAGCTCACATCTCAATGGGGAATGCTTTGGACAATATAGGGTTTGTTTTAAAATAATGACCACACCATTATTTTAGTTAAAATGTGCAAATCTTATGTGGACAGAGCAGACATTACATTATCTAGCAGCGTCCAAAAAAGGACAAAATATGCTTTTATAAGAGTTCTAATTTCACCATCTTTCCAAAATGTAACATGCTATTTTAAATTATATTATTATTATAAATTATTATAAATTATAAATAATAATTCCTGATGACTGTAGCTAGACATTAGGTTATTAGAAAAGAAAATGTAAAAAATACCTACCTGAATAGTCTACTTAATATTTTTTCATGAACATTTATGTTCCTCTTGTACTCATGTATATTGTCCTGATGTAGGTAACAGGTTGGCATTTTATTGATACAACATATACTGTATACTGATTAAAACCACAATAAGATTTTGGTATAAAGTATTACCAGAGTTTAACTCACAAAGTTACCTGCTTTTGAAAGGATCTCCATTGCCACTGGGACGTGGGTCTTGCATTTCTCTAAATTCTTTTTTTCTTGTTTCAAGAAAGAAGGGTTTTTGTTGACCTCTTCTGCAATTTGTCTTCCCTTCTCTGTGAATCCGACATATTTCCCCACAGTGCTGTTGTATTCTCCCCACAGCACCTTATTGATGAAGAGTTGTCCCAGATACACAACATCATTTGTTGAAGTGAACACGCAGTTAAGTAAAGCGTTAGCGTAGAGAGCGTCTGTAACAGAAAGCAACAAGTATTAGATGACTTTAAAACACTGTCTTTCAAATCAGCATGTTCTTTATAACAGCAACACAATAAAAACAATGTTAAAGCTTTTATGTTTTAGGAAAACATACCTGCTCTTGAGAATAGCAGAAGACTTAGCAGTGAAAATAAGCTGCATGTATTCATAATCACTTACGAGAACAGACATGAATAACCCAAACACACACACACACACACACACACACACACACACAGCACATGAGGAAGTGTAGCAGCAGTAACATTCTTTAAAGTAGGTGTGGCTCAAAGAGTTCCTCACTTTTGATAGTGAATTGTTTCACTCATTCTCATTCATGAATATTTGCTTCTAAACAAACGCTGCGTGCAGATAATGATAATAATGACTTTAATTTTTAAAGAACCTTTAAAAACAGATGTTTGCAAAGTGCTTTGACGGACAAAGCGAGGTAATCAATTCATCTGACACCTACGGGACAGAAGTGGTTTCAAACATAAAGAACAACTGTTAAGAAACTATCTGTGTTGTCTGTGGCGGTCTTGTTGCCTTTGTAGCTCAGAAAGAGGCCGGAATTGCAGAAAAATTCATCTGTGCTGACCTATCCCCCATCCAGGACTTATACCAGGTAAAACAGGACTCCTCACACCCCGGGTCACAAACTGTTCAAACTACTCCTCCGCTCCAGTAGGCTTTGCAGATCACAGAAAGCCAAAACAACCCGACTCAGAAAGTTTACAAGTTTATTCTCCCAGGCTGTCACTCTGATAAACGCTAAACAGTCCCAGAGTGCCAGAACTGTAACCGCTGTGAATGTACATTTGATTATTTAAACCAATTTTATGTTCGGAAACTGCTCTGTACGGAAACTGCTCTGTCGCAGACCGTAAGGCGCTACAGCGGGTGGTAAAAACCGCCCAGCGCATCACAAGGTGTCCACTTCCTGCCATTGAGGATGTCCAAAGAACACGCTGTCTGCGGCGAGCTCATGGCATCCTTAAAGACTCCTCCCACCCTGCCCACAGACTGTTTACCCTCCTGCCCTCCGGCAGGCGCTTCAGAAGCCTCCGGACCAGAACCAACAGACTGAGGAACAGCTTTTTCCCCAGAGCTGTTTCTCTACTGAACTCTACCCCCCGAACTCTGAACTCTGTCTCTCTCTCTCTCTCCCTCTCTCTCTCCGCACCCTGCTGACCCCCCTTTCCCCTCCATATCACCTCACACCCATCATCCCCCCACCTCTCCTCCTGGTCACACACACACATCTCTCATCAATCTGTATTATTGTATTATAGTATGTTCATATTCTTTAAATTATCTGTAAACTTGTATAACATGCTCACTGCATCTTAATCTGTATATTATTAGTATAGCATGCTCACTGCATCTTAATCTGTATATTATTAGTATAGCATGCTCACTGCATCTTAATCTGTATATTATTAGTATAGCATGCTCACTGCATCTTATTCTGTATATTATAATCCTAAAAACACACTTATTTTGTAGCATTACTTATTTATAGCATTTATTTATTTTTATTGCATCCCATTAATCCAGCCATCCAGATATACCTCATAATTCACTTTTTTTGGCTACATCTGTAAATTTTGCAATTACTGTACATAGCACAGAATTACTGTACATAGCACAGACTCTTGCACTCAATTACTGTACATAGCACAGACTATTGCACTTTCTGCTTATTTGCACTTCTGGTGAGATGCCAAACCTCATTTCGTTACTCTATACTTGTATATGTGTAATGACAATAAAGTTGAATCTCATCTCATCTCATCTCATCTCATCTCATGTTCCATCACTTAAACACGTTAATACTGTATTAATATCCTCCTCTGATATCAATCTATGCCCACTCTTAATGTTAATACTGCAAAACACTTTCTACCTTTTGTGAATTAACTCCTCTGTTAGATAATTACATATTTTATTCACAAGTTTATCTCAGCACTTTCACACTACTTACTTACACTTGTGACCCTCACCAAGCCCAGAGTCGAGCCTACTCCACAGAAGACATCTGGTCCACTGGTAAATCATGCATGAATTCTTGTGTATTAGCAAAAACCTGCTCTGTGCATCAGTGAGTTATAGAAGAAATTGACGTCCTCTGAAAAGAAGAAACGGAACAAATAACTGACCAGAAATACCTGTTTTACCGGTATGCTCTAGCGCAACTCTTTAGATTGAATGTTGTTTTGTGGCTCACTAAATCAAGGTCAGGGACCTGTATCTGTTTACAAATGTGATAAAAGGGTTCATTTTACCGTTCTCTTTCTACAACCTGCCCAAAGTGTAAATCAGCACTTTGGGCCACCCGGCATGGTTTAAGTGCATCATCTTTTGCTTTGTTCAGCAGTGCTAAAGCTGCAGGTATATAAGAGTTCCTGTAACGCTTTGTTCTACCTTCAGCAAAACGTGGCAACTGTTTTTGTTTTATTTTTCAAGAATGACCAAAAGTATTGCCCTGCTTGCATAAGTTTGTACAAACTGTGTCATATCTGTGTGTACATGATTCACTATGTATTTATCAACAAGACACTTTGACTGTGTATTTAACAGTTGTGCTGTTTGGTATCCTACAATATATGATTTATTTATTATCTTTTAGTTTTGTTCTGTGGCTTCTTGTTTTTTCTCCAACTGTTTCTTTTGTGTTCTTTTACCTGTGGGTGGCTGCTGTTTCCCTTGTAACTTTGCTGTCTGTATGCTAAATTGAAAATGTATAAATAAATCATCCCAAAAGGGAAATCATGTAATTTTTACATTGACGAATAAATCTTTTAATGAATCAACCAATTACATGTTTTATTTTGTCATGCAAACAGCTATGCCCCATGGAGCATAGTCTCATTTAATATCTTACATTTTACAAAGCTAAAATCTGTAGTGTTGTGTATGCATTTTCAACTATTTAAAAGGCAACAAAATGTAAAAAGAAAGGTAGGCTAAAGAGAACTGTATTATCTTATTTATTAAAACATGTTTGCTGAAAATCCTGCCCCATGCACATCACGTCTTTCTCTTTTCTTTTGGTTTAATAGCACACCTGAACAGAACACACAAACACTGACCTTGGGAAAACCAAAATGATTTTCACATTTTTTTTAACTTGAATGATTTCAATGAGTCACTTTTTTTCAAAACATGTTTTATCTGCTGTAGTGAGGTCACTCTTGCAAGATTGTCAATCATTTTTCACATGTAGATAAAGGTCACATATTATACTCCACTTCAACAAAAAATCTCAGTTCCCAAAAACATGTCTGTGAAGTTTCTTACTAAAAATCCACTCTGATCCTGTTTTGTATCATGCCTATAAACCCCTCTATTTCAGCCCTGCTCAGAACAGGCTGGTTCTGTGTCTGTAGCTTTAAATGCAAGTGAGCTGTGTTTGAACACACCACTTTAGAAAGGCTTTGGTGGCTTGGGCTTTCTTGCACCATTCCCAGTGGTTTACATTAAGAAGGCAGACTCGGAGGACACCCACCTGGGGAAGGGGTTACTGCCCTTTGTGATGTAACAAAGAGAAAATCTCCAAACAGCCTTTAATGAGTACACATTTTCTGGAAAGTGGAGGAGGAAAAATTACTTTTTCTCATTATTGTTTATTAGTAAAGATGTGGAATTTTCCCTTTAACCCATATTTAATTTAAAGCTAAATATAAACTGCAATGTGTTATGTTTAATGCTGACGCATGTTTTTCTTGTTTGTGAGGAAATATTACATTTATAGATGTATTTTTCCAAAACTTCTACCTATAAGTTATTGAATGAGCAGTTAAAGAAACAAGGAAAGAATAAAAAAACACCAGCAGTTGGGATATTTTCACCTCTTAAAACCAGACTGCAGCTTAAGGAACTATAACCTTTATCACATCTTTTTCAAACTGAGCATTTATTGTCCAAGGTGTCCTTTAATGAGTAAAACTATTCCACCTGCGAATCCCAACAAGCCCACAGTTACGCTCACTCCACAGTAAACATCTAGTCCAATACTGGGATGACTGATGTCTGGTTCTGTGGAGAAAGATAGAAAGCGAAGGCATCATTATTACAGGCACAACAAAACATGTTTGGTTTATTAAAATCTTAAAGTGGGTAAAGCATTTACCCCAGATCCTGGTTTGAGGCAGGTCCAGAGCTATGTGCTCCACAGTGCAACTGTAAATGTCCCCCTCCTCTGGTGTGAATTTCAGGGTGGAGAACTGGTGGAAGGTCTTATCTTTATTGGGATAATATCGACTGAGCGACACCCCTTCTGACACTGGGTGGCCATTTTTAGTCCAGCTGACTTTGATTCCAGGTGGGTAGAAGTGATTTACAAAGCAAGTGAGGCTGTTTTCAAATCCAAACTGAACTTCGTCTGCAGGGTAGAGGACGCTCTCAGGGGGGTCTTCAAAGGGGTGAGAGTCCATTAAAAACCGTCTTTAGCATTTCATTAATCACTTCATAACACTGATAAATGTTCATGATTACTCACCTGTTACCTCTGGTAGATCTTTTTCCTGGGATTTGAGGACACCAAGAACTACGCCACACGCTACTTTGGCTTTGAGAGCATCTCCATACAAATGTATGCCACTAAATATTTCACTTGGGTTTAGCATAATAAAAGGTGGCACAGTGTAAACGATATCGTTTCTTTCGAAATCCATATATAAAATCTCCTCATTATCAAACTCATACTGAACTTCCACTGTGTTGTTCTCGCAGCCCACAACATAGGTGACTTCATGGGGAACTGAAAACAATAGAATGGAAATGAGGACAATTATAAATGCACGAGTGTAAACCTGTGAAAGAAATATAAAGATGCTGTCTGATGAACTAAATAATATATTTTTGAAGAACTCTGCCTTGAAAATCTCTTACAGGAACTAAGCAGGACATTTTAAAACTTACTTTGTGAAAGGGTGCAGAAGGCATTTAGCATCAGAATAAGGAGAGAAGATCGCTTCATGGTCCAGCTGCAGGACAGTATTATCTCTCTGCATGAATGAAAAAAATATTACTGTATCTTGTACAAAGTCTCACACCCAGCCCGGGACAGCGTCACTGAAGTAAGTTCCGCACAAGTCTTTGGGGAATCAAAAAACCTGCACTGCTGTGTCAGAGAATCATCGAAGCAGCTGACTTACTCGTTCTTTTAAACAGACTGTTTACAGGAAAGAGATTTCTTTACACCCTCCCACTTTCTGTAAACGTGCATAGATCAGCAGACA